CATCACGTCGGGATCACATTCCGAGTTCGCAGGGTGACCGAGGCGCTCCGCAGCTGCTTGTGCTGTGTCCAGAATGTACAGCTGGCCGTACGATCGCGGCAATTAAGCTATTATAAACTTAATAGCTAAAAATTAAAATAAAGCAAATACCCTGCGGGATGAAGAGGACCGGAGTAGTGGTAGATTTGGCCGTGGATTTTGAAGACCCAAGGAACCTGACCGGAAGGCAAGCCGACTTGAGCACCCATTGATGCCATCGCCAGCGCAGAATTGAATTGGCGTGCTTTGCGGCGGAAATTCCAGTAAGAGTCGTTGTTGCCAACGAAAAGCTGTCAAATCTGTAGGGAAATTGGCGAACTTGTCTTCGATGATAATGTTGCCAAAGTTGCAGCACACATTGATCTTGTCACAGCCATTAGGGACTTCAGCACGAAAAAATGCGGCGCTACAATGGAGGCAAATAACATCCAACTTGCCGAGGTAGTGCTCAGTGACGGAAGGCATATCAGCAGATAGGTGTTGTTCATGATATCGTTCACGCAAAGAGGCAAGACGTCGATCTCGTGCAGCCGGTGTCTCATGGCTACGGCGAAGACGGCTACGCAAGGCTTCAGAAGTGCGTCTTGCAGCAGTACGGGCTCGGGTTCTCTGTGCGATGTCCATCTGCGACTGGGATGTGGAAATGGTCTCCTCGGATCGTTCTTGACGTGTGGCCGTCGTCTCCTGAACGCATTCTTTGAAAAGTGATTGTGCTGGCGACAATGAAGGTAACTTACGTGCATCGGGGCAAGTTCTTCTTGGGCGTCTGGTGCTTCCTGGCTATGGTGATGAAGACGGTTATGTGCAGCTGCGGAGGTCCGCCTTGCGCCACGTGCTCGAGTCCTCTGCGCAATGTGCATCTGCGAACTGGGAGTGAAGGCTCGTATCCTCGTTGGCCAACCCGTTCTGGGCTCGCACCATGCCTGGATTGATCCAGTGTCTCCTGAAGGTGTCCGTTGAGCTGTGGTTCCTGTTGCCTGACGTTCACGCATTGAGGCAAGACGCCGTTCTCGTTCCTCTGGTGTTTCTCGGCTACGGCGAAGGCGGCTACGCATGGCTTCAGAAGTGCGCCTTGCTGCGGTACGGGCTCGAGTTCTCTGGGCGGTATGCATCTGCGACTGAGGTGTGGAGGGGGACGGTCCATTGCTGGAGGGGGTCAATGTCGGCGCCATGGTCTCGGGAGTAACAGTAGTCGAAGGAGATACGACCGATGAAGGCATGGTATGAATGAACCGTAAGGCCGGGATAGGGTATTTTGATTTGTTGGTCATATTTATCTTGTGGATGAACCATTTTTATTTTGTTGATGAGCTAATCAGTCGACGAAACCCGTTGCGAAAGGTCAACGCATAGTTGAATATCAGCTAACCTCCAGAATGTGGCATACAAAAAATCAAAAAGGTAAGAAGGTTTAGTTTCTTGAAGTTGCTGATATTTAATTCAAATTAACCATGCTCAGTTATCCCTTCCTGCCAGTCCTCAGCTCAACAGAGATTAGAACACAAAAAAATCGATAAATCGATAACGCCTTATGGTGAAAAATTTGATAACATCCGCTCTGCCTAGAAGTTAATGTATGCAAGGCTTGGGTCGATTCGATGAAGTTTTTTAACATTTTAGGCCGATCATAACGAACGCTAAACGAAAAACGCAAAAAATCGATAAATCGATAGCGCCACTCGGGTTTTCGGTGAAAAAGCTTAGTGACACCCGCCCCACCCCGATCTTCATGTGTGCAAAGTTTCGTTCAAATTCAGCGAAGTTTTCTAACATTTTAGGCCGGTCATAACGAACTTGCTAAGCGAAAAACGCAAAAAATCGATAAATCGATAGCGCCACTCGGGTTTTCGGTGAAAAAGCTTAGTGACACCCGCCCTACCCCGAACTTCATGTGTGCAAAGTTTCATCCAAATTCTTCGATTCTTTGTACCGTTTTAGGCCGGTCATAAAAAAATGCTTATCCAAATATTATATAAGTATTGATGTGTATTCATATAACCATTTACCAAAACCAAATTCTGCACCACTCAATTCTGCACGATAAAAAGCTATGCTACTATTAGGTTGTCCAAAAAGTAAACTCTTCTTTCAGATAATTCAAGCTGTTTTTGCTTTCCCACTAAACCTAGGGTGTCATTCGATAGGGCAGATCAAACTCTACAAAATATACCAAAGATCCACCTAAACCGCATTCCGTGGAAAGTTTGAAGCAAAAATCGGAAGAAATATTGTCACCTAAAAATTGGATTTCTGCGATAAAGAATCCTACAGACCTCCAACTTGGTCATTATATAGTAGGCACATAGTAGTACTCAAATATGCCTTTACCGGATTTTTTTTCAGGCATAGAAAGCGAGAAACAAAAATTGTCCAAAAATGGCAAACTCCGCCCCCAGCCCCTCCAACATATGTCATTGTATGCTACAAGCCTTACTGAGTATAATTTCAAAAACTTATTCCTGTATGTGCTCTTATATTCGAGAAATACCAAATTCTACATAAAAAATCCGAAAAAAGTGGCATTTTGGCATTTTCGGACCATCTTTTTTCTCAATTTTCAGCCACGAAAAAAATCCACCAAATACATTTTTGAAATCTTGATTTTTGGCCCCAAATTTTATCGGATTACGACTTAGGTGGATCTTTGGTGGTTTTTTTTTGAAGGGGTTGCTCCGCTCTATCGAATGGTATTTTATTTCTCTTAGAAGAGCAAGTACAGCTCAATTTATCAAAAAATGGAGGTTACTTTTGGGACAACCTGATAGTGCAGTCCACGAGTTGCGCAATGAGCCTTGTAGCGTCACTGAAAGCTGGTTGTTCCCATCTCACAATAACTCATGTTGCAATCCATGATGACATGGACAGACTTGTTTAGTATTTCAATCATTCTAGAGAATGTCTGAAAATGTCTCATTGTCATACAACCACTAATCGAGATACTGCTACCAAACTTTATGCATGAGTAGCCGCTAGGTTATTAGCAAGTTTACGAGTTGATTCATGTAACTTTTCCCGTAAGTTGAAGGGGTCACACACGCCTGAGAATGTGACACAGTGACCGCCAAAGATTCGAAGAAACGCAACCGCAGAGGATCATCTCGCCACGAGTCGCCAGCCCATGTGCCAAAAATGATCAAAAATCTAGATCAATTAGCCAGAGCTTGGCGTTGAAGGCAGTGGCTCGGCAAAATATCTTAACCTAGTCAAATCCTCACTTACCTGGGGTTATCCAATGCGCTGGTCCCGAAGCCACTTTAGAGAGTGGCGAAAATGAGCGTTTTTAATGCTGTTCGCTTTGAAATTGAACGATTGGGGAAAGGCTGAAGACGCTAAATCGTTGCAGGACCCCATGATTATAACACTGCGGCGGGCAGCCTCCAGTGGTGAGAGGGGGATTGCCAACTCGTTCGAGTGCGTGTAAGTTTGAGAGCAGTTTTCTTGGCAAGGAAGGCATGCTGTGCGACCGGACTGCACTGTTTTTCTCGGGTGATAAGCAACCTACCGCGTCAAAATTCCAAGTTGTTAAGTCTTCACTGCCTCCACTGCCTTTAAACGACGAGCACAGGTGCACCTGGCCTCTATACGCGCTCACTCTCACTAGGTTTCACTCTCACACGCCTTCCGGCGTAGCCCCTGACTGCAACAGCCGCAGCAGGCGTTCAACGCGTTTAAGGGCAGTGTCCGGGCAAAAACTCGATTTTTAGACAATCCACTTACCTGGGGTTTTTCGCAACGCTAGATCCGAAAACCACGTTAGAAGGCGCGAAAAGGCGAGAACATGTGTTTCCGAAGCCTTACAATCTGGAATTCGATGGCCCGCCAAGGTGAGACGCAGAGTCGCTGCTGGACCCTACGATTTTAACTATGACGGCATGCGTACTCTGCTGCAAAGCAGGAGTTCAAACAGGTAGAGGATCCCGCCCCAAGGAGTAAATTTCCCCTCTTTCCGATCGTTTTTCTTGCTTTAGGTGGAACTGTATAACCTCGCTCTTGCTGTGTCTGCGGGGAGAGACTCTCGCAAGGCACAGAAATCCCAAAACCTCACCTTGTCCTGACACTGCCTTTAAAAGAAGAGTGGCCGCGTCGCGTGAGACATGACTTATAATAACGGGCTAAGGGTGTTTACGTGTTTTTGTGTTCTGTCTGTCTGTCTGTAACGAAATTCACAGAACGAGTCGCAGACAAGGTTTCAAGCCGCAATTTTTTGCACAGCACGCAATGCGCCATCCAGACTCACCATGCCAAAGCACGAGCAGATCCGTTAAGTGGGTTCCTCAAAAATGGCACCCCAGACAGATCCACTCAATGTCTGGCGCGCGATACTAGGCCCTTATTACCACTTTTTGGAAGTCGTGATTATGTTTGGTGTTTGTTTGATTATGTTTGTGTGAGCCATGATCTTTAGCCCAAAAATAGTGATGGAAGTCAATTACCTCACGAAAACCAAAACGAATTGTTTGCGTAAATGGTCATTGCCAGGTTTTTATCTAAGCATTTGAGAAGATTTTTGCACAGGGACGTAGCTCACCGTTGATATTATCCTTATGGCAACCACTAAGCCATAAAATAATTCAAAAATGTTCTAATTCTGCATTTGTTCTTTTCTTCCGAAGTTTCATCCACGCAAAATACCGATCTCACACGAAAAAGCTTTTGGAATAAGTAATAGTTTACGATTCATCCGTGAGGGCGGGCATTGCGCGGTATTTTTCAATGCTATATTATGCGGGAATGAGTATGGCATATAGATAGAAAAGCCAGTGCGAGCCTCTGCGAAGCAGAGGTGACGCACTGGTACCATATAATACGCTTAGAAATGTGCCTTCTATTTGATGGATTTTAACAGATTTTCATCCTGCTAGTTTATTAGTATAATCGTTTTTGTTCGAATTTCTTGTTGCGAATAGTGAATTATGATACAATCCCAAGCTTTTCTAAATCTATCAGCTTTAATCGCTCACGCTTTATGAAATCCATTTCCACTCTCCCATGGACAGATATCAAGTGAGAATTACAGTTTTGGCAATTCTTTTCAGCTTGCTCAAAATCTACCCCTTCGTTGTCATTCATCACCTAAATACGTTCCTCGAAAATCAGAAAGATCACACTCTTACACTGACCGAATACCTGTATCCTTTGAAATAGTGGGGGAATATTGCTGGAAAGTAGTTGTCATTGCTGATAGATGCACACTTACATAATGACAGAATCATGGAAAGCGACAAATGAAAGCGAAACACCATGTCGTTCTTGGCCCTGAAATGAGCATGAGCATTTTTTAGGCGAACCCGTGCCATGTTATTATTAGGTTGGCACATAAGTTTGCAACTTATCAACTTTCATTTGATTGTGACGCATTCATTTTCGAGCATGACATAGATTAGGTAGTAGGCTACAAATGTACGCAGACAGTTTGATTAGTGGTAGCGAGATGGAAATGATTTTTTTGAAAGCTGGTCAAATTCGAATTTACAAGGGCCGAAAAACCAAAAATAAAGCCGTTCTTGGTCTGAATCAAAACATCAAGCCGAATCTGTACCCAAATTGTTAGTAGAGAATATTCACTGGTCTATACAGTTTCGCTCAATGTGTTTGGTTGAGACCGGGAACGACTTTAATTTTGGTTTTCCGACCCCAAATTTCGCATTTGACCAGCTTTTGTAAAATGCGTAAATTTTCTCCACTTCGCTACCAAAAATTAGATTGTTTGCGCACATTTGTAGCCTACTAACTAATCTACATTACTCCCAAAATTGAATGCGTCACAGTCAAAAAGAGAACAGTTATGAAATAAGTTGCAAAACTTTTGTGCCAACCGAATTTATGAAGATGGAAATTTTGTTCCATGTAAGGAACTCGAACTTTCAAAATCGTGCGCTATATCAAGTTGAACTAGCGAACATAACAAGCAATTCAAATGTTAGCAACCAAGAATAATGCGAAGATAGGAAATTGTATTGAATAAAATTTATCAATAGGCGAAATGCTCGAACTATGCCTAGACAAGAAATTCGAGTTAAAGAGATGCCACCCAGGTTTCATGCAAAAACGACCTACAATTCAAGAAGCAGCTGGAAGTTTGAAACGGGTACATCAGCACGCCCCTCTCTTTGCATGACGGTTAAGTGGACGAATGTTACTTGGATGATTTCTGTCTCAGCAAAAGTTTGGGCAAGTCTTTTGAGCTAATTGTGTGCGCGTATACATGGAAGAGGGACAATAAGTGTAGCTACAAGCCATGCTGGAAATCACGGCAACAGACTACGAAGCAGAACTCGCAGATTGTAAACCAGCCGAAATTTTATGTAAGACCGTAACTTGACGGAACAGTTAGCGTAATAAAAGCGCAAATTACCACCACTGCGCTATTGGTTGCGCCCGCACAGCCCGCCGTTAATGCGAGTATAAAAGGAGAGTAACCCCGCCTTCGGGGACTTTCATGCACTTCCGCCGCCAGCTTCGGCTGGCACCACTGCACCTCATTTAATCGCCCCTTCCTCATTTTCCTCTATCATTGTTTTGTATTCTTTATATGTTCTTTATATCCATGTAACCTTTATTAACCTCAATATTATTTATAGTCGTCCTCCCCCCACTAGACACTTAGTGGACGAATTTGAATTTGGGCAGGAGCAAACGGCTAGCGTCAGAGCGCGGCAAACGCCGCCCCAGTCAAAGTGTGCGCATATGCTATTTTTTCATTTCTCTTCGTGTTTCTTTGTTGTTACTCTTATTGCGGCATTGTGTCATATCAGATCGAGATTTTGTTATCGGTGTTCGTTGCTTCATGCTGTTATTATCGTTTGCCTTATATTTTTTTTCAGGTAAAGCTGGGAATACGACGCAGTTGAAGATTTTTTGATGGAATGTCGCTTATCGCTCTTTTCCGGTGAAAAAACGCACAAGCGTTGCTTTCGTGAAATGTGAATCAATGTCTCAGCTGAATATGCTCTCCAAACTTTTTTTTTCAGACCTGAATCTTTTCAAAAAGTATAGGTGAGTTCTAGGATGGTGCATCCGACGATATCCGTGCCATACGTATATTTTTAATTGCACGTAAGCACTTGGTTGTTTGTTTAGCGCTTCTTTTCTCTGTGAGAAAAGTATTCCTAGCCCCGTCTTCACTGCGTCGTATTTCCAGCTGTACCTCGAAAAAAAGATAGGGCAAACTATAATAACAGCATGAAACAACGATCACCGGTTACAGAATCTCGATCTGATATGATACATTGCCGCAATAAGAGTAACAACAAAGAAAGACGAAGAGAAATGAAAAAACAGCATATGCGCACACTTTTACCGGGGCGGCGTCTGCCGCGCTCTGACGCTAGCCGTTGCTCCTGCTCAAATTCAAATTCGCCCACTGAGTATCTAGTGGGGGGAGGACGACTATACCTCCTATTGTAATCCTTATTTACTAATCCCTGTAACCTCCTCATTACTCTCGATATCGTCTACCTCCTATTGTAATCTCATTATGTATTACCCTCATCTACCGCTTATGTTACGCCGTATACCAATCCGTCTATTTACCTCTATATACTCAATTTCTATAACGTGATGTCATAAGGATAAACTTTAGTAATCGTTCATGTTCTGTGGAGAAGGGAGTAGCTAGAGAGAGAGAGAGAGTCAAAATAATCATACTGGACAAAGTCCTCGCAATAGCCCAAAGTCGTTTTAGATATTACATTAGCGAGGTAATTGCATCGGCTGTCAGCAGAAATATGAGCTCAGAGAGGTACAAGATTCAAACAGTATCAACAAATTCAGCACAAAGATAGTCGAAAGAAGCAGGTCTGCAAAGAAAACAGACCATAAGCAAGTCAAACAAACATAAACGTAAGGTTTGTGAGTAAGTATGCGTGGTACGCCTCAGCAGCGATAATCTATGCATGTCTTTTTATGTCCTTTTTTGTGTTACTTATTTCTCCGCTCCATGTTATTGGTGGATGTCGTCTCACATTCGATACTGACGAAGTTCTAGGGAAAAAATACTGCACATCTTTTACCATGGATAGAATAGGCGAAGGTGCAATCGCGGCAGGTGTTTTTCGAGAACCCGTGCACCTCAATGGCGTAAACGTAGATGTTGCCATATTAGAAAGTGGAAAAAGTAAAATGTCGACAATGTATGTTTGCACAGAAGAGCTATACGCTGCTGCATGACGAAGGCGCACTATCCCCGGGCGCGAACGCGACTTTATTAGCCGCAGAGCGCATGAGGCGCAAAATCTACAGATCTACAACGGTGAGGATACGCGCGTGCCGCGTTCGCGCCCGCTCAAATATGCTTTTCCGACTTCATAATGCAGTAGCCTTTATGTTGTTCCGGAAGATCTGTACAATTTGAGATTTTCTTATTCAAGACTAGCTGGCAAAAGCTCCGCCCCCTCAATCAATAATAATCGCATCGGCATGCTCACTTACCCCCTGTGCCAACTCCCAGCCCCGTAGCTCCAACTTTGCAAGAAAAAAGGTTGAGTTGATATGATCAATAGCGAAAAGTAGCCCACGACACCTGCGCCGCCGCGAAGTGTACGTGAGCAAAGTTTGTCGGTATCGGTTCAGTAATAAAAATTTTTATTCGAAACATACGTACAGACACACAGGCACACAGGCACATATACAAACAGACATTCAGCTATATTTATATGGACGTTATAATTTTCAAAAACCAAGATTTATAGGTATTTTTACTTTGGTGAATTACGCAGATTTTTCGCAACCGTAGGGATAGTACTGCACACAGAAGAAGCAAGTGAGAGAAAAGCAAACATTTTCAAAGAACTTTTCTTCACCGTACACTTACGCTACAGCATAATAACGCTCCCAAATTATAGGCACACCATTTACTTCCTGAGTAGCCTATATTCAAAAGATCATACCACGTAGAAGAAACTTCGTGTATTTCTGCTGCATAGAAATTTTTGCGAGCCAATAAAAAAATAAAGCCCATTATCTGAGCTCCTTTCCGCGCCTGCAAGTATGCCGACTTTCCAAAAATTTTTTTTATTTGTCTCGAACGAATAAAGTTAATTGGCTGATAGTTCCTGCTTGCTCTGCTTCACTCCATCATATGCAATACCAAAGATATCCCTTGTCGTTATGCATAGATTTTTGCCGCCTGTAGAATAACTAGGTGATTATCAAATATTTCAAGACAAGTTTGCAAGTCAATTTTACGCGAGAAAAATGTGCATTTGTTATCTTGCTACACCGATACCCACTCTGAATATTTGCATGAGTATTTTAGGACATTGTGAAGGTTTCTGTCATAAAACTTTTTTCTTGAGCCTGATATTGGAACCTGCGCCTTGGGGCTTCAAGTCTCATAAATGAGTATTTTGATAAGTTAAAGAAAGCATTGGAAAGAGCAAGAGTTCTGAGTAGTGCTCGTAGCGCAGCAATAAGTGCAACCCTCTCAGAATACAGCTGCGTTGAACGCAAAGCATTCAAAATCGGGTAGTACTTTCGGAACAACTTAGGGCCGCATGCATTAACATCGCTTGGGAGGGGATCGCAGCTTAAAAGAAAAGCTCTATATCCTGAAGCTCCAGATATCTGAATTACACGTAGTCTATTCGTAAGTCTTCCTACTATTCTTCACCATGAACATATTGAACAGGGGCAATAAGCCGTGCAAGCCGCATTTTTCAGCTTTTTGTATGATCCCCTGATGATCCCAGGGACGATCGTTAATTCCTTGAAGGCATTTCCATTTCTTCAAAGTTAATGAAAACATTACAAAGCTGCGGTGATTATCTAACGTAACAGTGCTAAGCATATTGCTGATGAGAACAAATGAGTTTCTGAAATATCGAAATTTCCGATAAACCCCAACTTTCGACCTGTGGTTCATCGAAAATTTCATGACTCCAAAACATCATTTGTTCTTATCAGCAACATGCTTAGCACAGTTGGATTAGATAAGCAATACAACTTTGGAATGTTTTCATTAACTTTTAAGATAGAAAAATGACTCCAAAGAGTAAACGGCCATCCTTGGGAATCACTAGGGGATCATACAAAAAGTTGGAAAATGCGGCTTGTACAGCTTCTTGCCCAAGTTCAATATGTTCATAGTGGAGGATGATGGACACACTTACGATAGGTAGACAGCGTGAAATCCAGATATCTGGAGCTTTAAGATATGAAGCTTTCTTTCAAGCTGCGATCCTCTCCCAAGCGAGGATGTTAATCATGGTGCGGCCTTTAGTATGTTTGAATTTTATCATACAACACGGTGGTAAGATAATTCCCAGCTATGAGCTGGGCTACAACGGTGGCATTTCTGCACCTATTTCGCACTGCGCATGACCCAGCCAACTACTCAAACAATCGCCTGAGGGAGGCGAGCATAGGAAAACGGATCCTTAGTAGCTTGCATCCCGACGCAGATTGAAAGCGCTTGTGAGAAACCGCTTGTTGATTTTTTAATTCCCCGATGAAGCAAGAATTCATATGCGAAAACTGGAATGAGAAAATTGTCGAGAAACGGTCTAACAATGGTGATCCGTTTTCTACAGATTTTTTTGGGCGGAGAACGAGTCAGCGACGCGCATTTATCGGTGTCCGCCTAATGCCAGCGATTGTCTGGGTGTGCAGATCTGATTTTTTTTAGTTTCGCCGGCCACGTCTTGGCGCGAAGTCAAACTTTTACCAAAATCGTTTGGTAAAAGACACAGAATAAATGCTCTCTAGATTTCAATACTTTTCTTTTGCCATACAGGCTGTTATCGGTGACAATTTTTTGCCTACTGTTTCATCACAACCTGTCATCGAAGGCTCAAAAGTAGTCAGTTAATTTCACTTTTTATTGTATTCGACTTTAAATGCATAATCTTGGCCTATAAAAATCAGGTAGTATCCGCAAGAAAGTTTCGAAGCATTCTTCATTGTCCGTGACCCCAAAATCAACAACACGAGAGAACAATTTCTAATGACGTATCCGACATATTGCTACAAGATCGTCTATTCTATTCAAGCGGTCCACTGACATCATCTGTGACAGCAGTCCACTGACTACTCATTCACAACATAGCAGTCAGTTGACTTCAAGATTGCATATTCCCAAAATCGCAGTTACTTGAAGTATATCTGGAGCAGCTGGTAC